GCCGAGCTGGACATTTTCAAGCATGCACATTTAATTGTTTTAATTTGTTTTAGATTTGCTCTGAGGCCACAAAGTTACACAAGTATACTTTCAGTGTCCATCAGCAGTCCTGCATGAGCTTGTAGTCTGTCTTTGAGAACTTACCCAAAGCCATTAGTCCTCTAGTACTTTACAAAAACTAGCCAACAATATACTGTTGTTTCAAACATCACCCAGTCTGCTCCGAAAGAGTCCAAAGGAATTGTTTGCATATTGTTTGCAAAGAAGTATGCATACAACAGCAGTAAATTATTACAAAAATGCTAAAAAATTTAGTCTGTCAAATTTTTTGATCTAATTGACCATCTCAGCAAACAAAAGCTGAGCAGCTGTGGCGGCTGTAGAATGGCTGCTCACAGGCTGAATAATGAGTGTCACACCAGGAATCAGAATCTGCACTATTATTCTATTAGGAGTAGCACAGGGGCACCATAAACACACACGCACACACACAAACAGTTACATGCTCTCTTGCTGTTCCCAGAACAAACATTTTCAAGCTTTTGCCAGAAAGCTGCAACATCCCCTGTGCGACGTTTATGCACCAACAGTGAAGTGAGCAAAGCACCTGTCACAGTAAACAAAAAGCTGGTCTCAATTATCTTAAATGACACATGCAAGCGCGGTCATACAGTGAAATCCGAGCTCTCGAAATGCAGATGTACACGTTCGAAAACATATTTAGTCACAAATTTGTAAAGCAATCAAAGAACAGATGTGTTGCACTGCAAATGCAATCCAAATATCATAATATGCAAGTTATTTTGTAAAAAAAAAAAAAAAATTAAACCTAGTGGACATCAATTTGAATCTTTGGATAGCATTAACCAGCCACCAAGATTTTTTAATATATTTTTAATCAAATACTCAGAGGAAAATAAATTAAATGGCAGCGACCAGATAAGAATCTGACCGTTCACCTAAAAGAAAGTTGAATTTTTTATCATTCTAATTTTGATTGTTTTTGGTTGATGAAAGACAACATTTTATGGGCTTACTCTTTCAATCTGCAACTGTTTCTCAATGAAAATCATCTTGAATTTTGGCCTTTCTGAATTGGGCTCTAGCATGATTATTAAAAATAGAGGAATAAAAATGAATAAATAAATAAGAAAATCGGAGGAATATGTTTTCTCTTTGTCATTTAAAAATCTCTTTAAATGACAAAGAGAAAACATATTCCTCCGATTTTCTTATTTATTTTTTCATTTTTATTCCTCTGTTTTTAATAATCATGCGGATTATCTTAGGACCATTTACTGCAATACTTTTAAGGCAAGAAGTGTTGTTTCCTTAACACAATCACTTTTACTGCAGTATAGTTTCCAGTAAGATAACATTTGTTCTATTTTTTATTAGTGCCACTAAAGAAAGTGTCTAGAAAGAAAATATCCATTGACTCCCTCCTCCCACTAACAAACTGAGTCTTTAAATCACAAGACTGATCTGATAGCTTCATACTCAAACAACACTTTATCTTCATGGTTCCAAGATCATTTGGCACTTGTCGGCTCTATAAATGTGCGCCGAAAGCAAGGACATTGTCAAAATCTAACTTATGTCTCCCCCGTTTTATTGCCCAAAATAACCTTGTATGAATGCAATGCTAAGAAGGACAGATGGAATGTCCTGAAAGTGATGGAGCACTGTAATTTTTTTCAGTCCTGGTGCCAAATCATGGTTATATGATTATGCAGACATGCAAAAATGATTCAAAATGGGGAGTGAATGCTTCACAAAAGGTCAGCTGACCAATCACAAAACAGATTACACTAAATGAGATCTAAAAAGCCACAAAGTCACAAAGCAATAAACTATCATTTTATTTTCCTAGAGAGAACCACTGCCTGTACTATTTAAGGACTTGGCTTATTTCACACACAAATGTTGTAAACTAAGTGTATACACACAATTTCAATCAAAAACTAATGCATGCCATTGATTGAAAAATCACAATAGCAATCAATAAGGTGCATTGATTGCTATTGCAATTTTTTCCACTCTTCTAGCTTTTATTGTTTGAATTGAGGAACCACTCATGCCTCGACATAGCTGTCAGATATTTTCAGGCCCTTATCTTTCTTTTGGCATATACCACATATTCATTGTGTCGACAAGTATTGCAAGATGACTCGTCTGATATTTTTTCACCTTTTTCCTATTTCCCTGTCAAACAATAGTCATGGATTTGGCACCACTGAGACATGATACGTGCATTATGTGGAAAGGTTCTTACTTCCCTATTTTGTACAGGGGAAAAAAATAACAGTAAAGCCAGAAAATTCTAATAATTTTCTGGACAAGATTAAAATGTTAATTCTTTAGTTGGACATTTTAATTGGTAATGTGGATATCATCCTCCTGCTGTTCTTCTACAACTTGAGAACCTATGACTTGCTGTCATCTTCATGATGAAAATTCTGCAAAAGGGATATCTTGCATTTTCCCACATTGCTAATTTAAAAGCAAGCCCTGGGAGGAGGGACTCTGTTCATGCACAATATCTCAGAGCCAACAGGTAACTGCTGGTGTGCGTAAATGAAATATTGAACTCTAATATCAGAAGCTAATACAAACAGAAATAGGAACACTTTATTGACCGGCTGGCAGAATTGCACATATTTAGTGCATCCATCTTTGCAGTTAGCGTCTATGTGCTGCATCCCTCCTGTGATATCCCTCTTTATTTCTGTCAATGGACTGTTTTTGCTGACGCAGTCCAATGAGGTCCTTGGTTGACTTTCTCAGTAACCTGAGGAAGATCTTCAGTTTGCCCTTAGATATCCCGCTAATGCACAAGCAGCAGTGTCATCATGGATGTGCTGTCAAGCATAATCTGTCACACTTATTGATGTTTTTGGATACATCCGAAGGCAGACGGCGTTTCAGTCAATGTTCTTATTGAAACTCTCTCCAGCTGAGCTTTTGTGACAGAGGCTCTGTGCCTCAACAACAAAACATCTTCAAAATCATGTTTGGATTTCATCTTTGACTATCCTAATTTAAAATCAAACCCTGCTCAGGCTTCCTGGTACTTATACATACTACAGAAACCGTGGTATGATGTTAGCCGCTCAATTGTACCATATAGTGGAAGAATTAGCAATTTATGTGTTTCTTCACTCAGTAATCCAGGTTTTTCATTTTTAAATGTCACCCGTCCGTATCTCTCTCTGAAAAGATGAAGTGAAAAACATAATACTTTTATGTTTTGCAGTGGTGGGTGGATTAAAAAGCCAAAACATGGTTTTACTTCAGCTTGACTTTCCAGCCAAAGTCCTCTGTGCTGTAAACACACAGAGCTGACGACACAATAACTTTAAATCTAGAGCATTTTTTAAAATTTATTTAATGAATATCTATTTATATCATATCCTGTTGATGAGATTTTTGTGCCCCACCTTAATTGTTTTTGCTTCATACTAAACAATAAATAAAAGTCTGAATATTTAAATGAAAGTAGAGCTGTCATGACTTAAAATACTGGAAATCCACCCACCACTGGGATATCAGTCAGCAGGGACAACTGTTCATAATCAGACCATTTTCTGTGTGTGAATCTTAACACCTTTCCTTCCACAGGATCTGGGAGGCAGCGTGTCATCTTTTTCACAACTCTCCTGCTTTTTTAGGTGTACCCATCTTTTTTTCCATGTCTCATAACATGTTGCTGCATATGTAATCATAGCTATGACAGTTAATTCATATTAATCTCTTTTTTCCCCTTGCACCCCTTTCATTCTCTCTTCCAACGCTTAAAATAGAAGTGGAGCAAAAAGGTAAATAACAGACACGATCTAAACCCTAGCTCCTTGTTTTGTGGCATCTGGTTGTAAATTACCTATTTTTCCCATGGTGGCCTCTACAATCACATCGCAGACGTTTCCTAAAGAAAAAAAAAAAACAACAACCCCAACTGTAATGTTAACGGCCAGCGTAGTGCTACAAGGGAAGTGAAGCTGGCCGTAAAAAAGACAGCATACAAGCAGCCAAAAGACGTAAATGGGGGTGTATTGGCTGCATTCCATAGGAACATCCTCTTCTCATTCTCTCTGGGTGCTTTTGCTACTCAGCAGAATATCATATTGCCTGGCTTCTTCCCTTCCCTTCCCCATAGCATGCCATGGTAACTATGTTTCTCGGCCCTCTTTTCAAGCTATTGCTGTCTACTGTCCCTTTTTCTCTCCGAGTGCCCCGCCCCTCTCACTGTTCTCCCCATTATTCTCATCTGACCACTTGCTTCTCTTTTTCTTCGTTGATTCTCTCTATATCTCAGAACAACAACCAAAAACACCTCAAGAGACCATTTACGAAAGTATCCTAAAACTTTAATGTTTGTGAAAATTGCATCACTTTGTGACATGAAAAGTCTCTCAGGTATATGATAGAAAAGTTGGTGGAACTGAGTCACATCTAAGTACACATATTTTGCAGAATCCGCTGACTCCTGCTCTCTCATAACCTCTCCCGTCTGTTGCCAAGTGACTTTAGTTGGCTGCATTTTATTTTTCGTTTTACAGGACCAATTGTTCATTATGTTTTCTTTTGTTTCTGTTCCCCCTTTGTTTGTGTTGTAGTCAACATTATATGTGAATGAGGTCCAATCTTTTTTTTTTCTTTCAGAGTAGTTTATATATTTCAACAGTATGCTTGATGACATTTCTGTTTCTTTTTTTTTATTTCTATGCACACAATCGAATCCTTTTTATCTCATGTGAATATTGTCTAAAGATGTTAATTGTGTTTTGGCCACTCTTTGATATGTAGCTGTCCATGCCCCTGTTGGTCAGCCTGTAAAACCAAAATGAAGACTCTAGCGTTGATATCGATATTACATGATACATTTCTGAGTCTCCCATTTTAACCCCTGTCTGTTTCTCGTTCTACTCTTTTCTCATTACTAGTTTTTCTTTGTCCCGGGACTCTGAAAGCTGTCGGTGAACCTTCCTTTCTATTTGAAGCGGAGCAGCAAGCTGGCGCCTGGTGCAAAGACCCGCTGCAAGCCGGCGACAAAATCTACTTCATGCCCTGGACTCCTTACAGGACAGACACTCTAATTGAGTACTCCTCTCTGGATGACTTCCAAAACGCCCGGCAAACCATCACCTATAAGCTGCCCCACCGGGTGGATGGGACTGGATTTGTGGTCTATGATGGGGCCGTGTTTTTCAACAAGGAGCGTACGCGCAACATTGTGAAATTTGACCTGCGGACTCGAATTAAAAGTGGTGAGGCAATCATCAACAATGCCAACTACCACGATACGTCGCCCTACAAGTGGGGAGGTAAAACAGATATTGACCTTGCTGTGGATGAGAATGGGCTGTGGGTGATCTACGCAACAGAGCAGAACAATGGCATGATGGTAATCAGCCAGCTGAACCCCTACACTCTACGATTCGAGGCTACTTGGGAAACAACCTATGATAAGCGCTCAGCCTCCAATGCCTTCATGGTTTGTGGAGTACTTTATGTTGTCCGCTCCACCTATGAAGACAATGAAAGTGAGGTCAGCAAGAGCCTGATTGATTATATTTACAACACGAAACAGAATCGCGGGGAGTACGTTGATATCCACTTTCCCAATCAGTACCAGTACATTGCAGCAGTGGATTATAATCCGCGAGATAACCAGCTCTATGTATGGAATAACTTTTACGTCCTGAGATACAACCTGGAGTTTGGCCCACCTGATCCAGCACATGGTAAGAGCCCATCATCCATTCATTTCTTCTGCAGACAGTGATGTTAAACCTCATTGCTGAGACGATAACTTTAGTTGCCGTCAAGTGCACAGCGATATTTCTTTGGTATTCCCATCTATGTGTCAGGTGTCACAGCTGACTGATTTTTAATTTAGAATCTAATATGTGCTTGATATGTTATGGGAGGCTTTGGAGTGCAGGAAAACATCTTGGGGAGTGAAGTGAGCTGGGCTCGGTGGTAAACAACACCTTGAAGCCAGTTACCATATCATAAGGGATCAGTATCAGGGGGATTTAGGGAGGTTTATCGTACCTACGTTCCCCCAGTCCCTGTTGCAAAGGCTCCAGGGACCACTGCTACCATGGCCCTTTTTTCAAAGCGAGCGAGATAGGAATAAAAAGAGGTATATTCTCACATCCGGAAACATACATGCCTGGACAGGTGCAAAGTTTGGCCTCCGGCAAGGTTAGATGATTCCCCCGGTGATGCCGGCTATGTCAAATCTCCATTGGCCATTAAAAAGAGAAAAGAAAACATTTTACATCCTGAAACTTGAGAAGAAGGTTCTCAGGGATGTGCCGTAGAGAGAAATGCTAGACAAAGGGGAGAAGGATCCATCATCCAGGGTCACGATAGCTGTGCATGTTTTTAATTTAGCTGTCAAGAGCTAAGCAGAGACTAGCCAAGGCCTGCGATAGCCATTGCTCTGAGAATATAATAACAGTAATTATCCTAATCCCCTCCACACCCAGAATCCTAAATCCACGTAATACTCAACGCATTCAGTGATGTACCACTGAGGTCAAGCAACTTTTCCTCAGATTATCCAAGAGCTCAATATTTATTAATGTGATGTCTCGTCCACTTTGGTATTGATAGGACAGGGTCTTGGGCTGCTAAATTGGGTTCAGTCACTGGAACAGCATCAGTCTAGCCAGAATAAGGCCGGCTTTGCTGTGACCAGAGTGTAGTCCAGGTTTCAAAGCAGAGGTAATATGAAGAGTATTCTCAGCCACATTCATTATTATTCCAGCTCTGAATATTTGAAGTCTTTCCAAAGCAAATACAACAGATAGAGGGTTTCTGAATTAAACATTTGCATTTTACAAGTACATTTAGATAAGCTGAGGAGAATAGCAGGGTCAGGATGTCTTGCCATAATGTAGTCAGTCAAAAAATAGAATTTCATGCACGAGGTTAACTTAAAAAGAGATAATTTCCATCTGTGCCCCTGCAGACAGATGCTCCAAAAGTATCCTTTACACATTTTTCTCTCTCTTTTCTTTAAAGATAATACATGTTGCCTGCTTTTACAGGGCATTCTGTGTTTTCAGTCTGTATAATAACGAATTAACCAAGCAGCAGCCCCCGTCTTAGCTTAGCTGATATAAATTCAGCTGTGTACAAAAGGGCTTTGCGCTCAATTGATTTGTTCATTTGCTGAATGGACACTGATCAAGGAGAGCTAAATCTGATCCTTTAAAAGGTTATTTGTGTGAATTCAGCATGAGGGCATAGAAAATATTTCACACAGTGAGACCTTCAAGAATCCAATGGAGTCCACTTCACTTCCTGTTTGGAAACATACTCGAACTGGCATACTTTATTAGTTCCTATGGCCTCGCAATTCTATTTCAAATTCTCTCTACGGCTGTTCTCTCAACTTGACAAATGAGACATGAGTATGGCCCTGCTGCTGACTAATATATGTTGAATTGAAGTCGATGAAAGCAAGGGAGAATGGTCCAGGATGATCATCAAGATGCCAATAAACTTGTCCTCCCACATGGCTGATGTTGACACATAAATGATGGCACTTTTTTCGGCCTGTCACAGGACGCCCTCTCTTTGATATCTTGAAGCTTGCGTCTTTGCCTGCATCACTGGGCAATAGAAAGAGCCATCAGAATGCCTCTCTGGCAAAGCATCCCCTTGTTGCTCATCCTCAAAACATTTGAAACAAAATATAAAATATCACATGTGCACGCAAGACAGTGAGAATGCAAGAGAGCATTGCTCTTTAAACATCAGCAGCCTAAATATATGGGTGCTATTCTGAATGGTATTGGCCCATAACAGACCTACTGAAAAAACACAAGCAAACATGATATGCCCATTCTGCAAATTACTTAAACTACTTTTTCAAATATTTTTGTCAACTATTTGGGTACATGATATTAAATCACTGCATGCTGTGCAAATGACCCTGCTTAGACTCAAAAAGCCTCAAACAAAACAAATAAAAGGGATCAAAGCATTCAATGCAAATGTTACGTGTAGGCAATAGTTGTGTTAATCGTCTCTTTATTGGAGGAAGAAAGAATTCTTCAGATTTTCACTATCTATTAAACCTTGTTTGTTTTTAACAGAATTTAAAGCCATGCATAAATGATGATACAGTGCGGTATGTTGTTCAAACAGCCCGATGCTGCATGCATCTGCAAAAGTGCATCGCGATTCCTTCTGCACAAACATCTTAGTCTCTTCATTCAATTCTTTGTGGAATGCAAAACATCAAAGTGATGTTGAGACCACGTGCGACTGACAGTTGGGCTCTTGTCAACTCCAATAATGTCGGTTATATAGAGACAAGATCATCTCTTGTAGGATTAACAGCGAGTGAATAGGGTCACATCCAACATGTAGCTTCTCTGGAAGTGGACATTAAATGGGTCAGTAAGTCCCTCTCTTGGCTTTGACCAACAGCCACATAATCCACTCATTTAACCACAGCTCTGTGCATGTTTTCCTTCTGGCTCGGAGCTCATAAAAACATATCCCTTTGTCGCATCTTGTATGGGAGATGATTAAATTGATTTAAATGAGGTATTCCCAGAGAAAACTCAATTCTTTACTCATGCAAAGATGGAACATATGCCCTAAAACCACTGTTTAAGCATTATCAAAAGCTTATCCAAATAAAAGTATGCACCGAAAAGGCTTACTCAGTTGGACATGTGAGCAATATATTTCTCACACGAAGATTATATAACAACCCATCTTTAATACTTCAAATGTCAATACTTTTGCATACAGTTTCAAACTGTGCTGCAACTCCAAATTGCATGTATCCAAGTGGGGCTTGTAAGAAGTAAAACGACCCAGTTTGTTAGAAATGATAAGGTAAAGTTGTCTGAGGTGACTTTCCAATTAGCTTCCAAAACTGCATGTGGGCAATGCAATGCTCCACAGTTTTTATGTTATGAAAGTGCTTTACAGGGCATAAATGCTCAGCTGTTACAGATGCACGTGACTGGTGCACATTAGCAGTCACCCTAGAGAGCACACCTCTAACAGACTGATGAATGTACTGGGCCTTAATAAGGTGCATAACAATTCATCCCAGTTATCTTCTGCGAGGACATAGATATCCACTTGTGCCAACTTTTAAATTTGAAAAATGAGAAAGCCATATGGATTCTTTCAAATCCAGCCACAACCACCTCTTGAATATGGTTATGTTTAGTCTAATGGCCAGCTATTAATACAGAAATCTGCGAAAAAAGTCATTATTTACATGTGATTTATGACTATGGCCAGTGCGTTCCTAATCAGTTTATAGTACAAGTGTTTATGATGTTTATTTCATGTATTCCTGTCCTACTGGAGTAAACAGGAGATACTGAAGTGCACCGAAATGCTTTTGGGAAAAGGCTGCGTTTGATTCACAAGTCATTTCTGTATCAGATGTCCATCGCACTCTCAGCCAGTCACATCTGGCTTCAAAAGAACGATATTGCGACTGTAAAAATGCCAAATCGAAGTGGTTCATATCAGAATTGCACAAACTTCAGCCTGACACAGTTGCCACTTCAATCTTTTAGATTTATATTCATCTCTTCCTCTTCTATATATGTATATTCATCTATCCATATATATAAATATATATATTCATATATATATATATATATGTGATGTGAACATTAAAAATCCCACACGCTGACCTTCAAACAGTCGCTCCAAACACCAGTGGCTGAAAGCTTTAACTAAGGTTATAAATTCCAAATCAATATTAAGCTTTTCGAGCCACTTGATTTGCTCGGCTTAAATGACAAAGACTTCCTTCTTTAACATGCACACCAGTGGTAGAGGGCAGGAATCAGCATGTGTAAAGAATGGCTTGTTTGTTTTGTTTGCCTGAACAATAATCCGCCCTCTCCCCTGCCTCCTGTCAGCTGCCCAAGTGGACACAGCAGTGTGAAAGGAGAGGTTATCGATGTGGAAAATCACCCTTTTTGTTTTTGTTTGCCTGTCCTCTCGTCTTATTCTTGAGCCTATGGTTTCTTTCTTTGACTGGTGCATCTTATTACTTCCGTCTACTGTCTTATTTTGTCATTGTGACACCAGTGTTTTCTCGTAGGCCTCCTCTGCTTTGACTGTCTATGAGCTGGGCCCTGCTTCATGCTATTTGCATTTATGTTCAAGTATGTCTCTGTGTTTAAGCATCTGTTTGAGTTTTTCTCCTGAATTTAGACTAAAGCTGAAGCCAGGCTGCTCAAATAATGCCTGTTGGGAACAGTGCACACTAAATGACAAGATTTAAGTAAATCCTGACTTCTGCCTCTTGGGAAACTGTGCACACAAAATAGGGGAAAAAAAGATGCCCATCACGCACATGAATCTCACTTATAACATTCGGAAATAATCTTTCAAGTGCTGGGACAGCTTTCTGTCTAGCAGGGATTTTAGTTTTTTTTTTAATAGAAAACCAGCTTTTGCCCGAAATCTATGTCCACTTTAAATTGACTGCGAGACCGAATGGACCCAGACATTCTGTGCAATTACTCTAGGTATCTGAGACCAGGTTTTTACTGATTTACCTTGTCTGCTGCAGTCAGGACTGCGCTAACTTTGGATGCGTGCAGGGCCAGCTTTGACCGAACCCAACCGAGCATCTGCTGCACAATATGGGCAATATACCAGATAATATATAAAATCAAAATAAATGACCGAATTAAGATACATATATATATAAATGAGCCTATTTTTATCCTGTTTT